AGAAAGTGGCCGGTGAGTGGACAGGGACAAAGAGGAAACCCTAATCAACATTTATCATCCTGCTGAATCTGAGTCTGAAGACAAAGAAATGAGGCTAGGGGTATTACACCCCATGGTTTGCACCCCCACCGTACATCCATAATCTATTTGCAGCTATATAACCATAGTACCGGTTTCAGTCAATGGGAACCCTCAAGTACCCAAACCCATTACGTCTTGCGAGCCTGCACGTCCCAGGGAACCCTGCATAAGGGTGATGGACTTCAAGGTAATAGCGCTTCAAATTCACCTCTCTTTTTCTTTGTTGTTTGAGATTTTTTTATCAGGAAAAGGACCTCAAGCTTGTCTGTAAAGTCAACTTTTGCAAGTTTGTGATTAAATGTGGGAACATAGGAGAGTGGTTTGTGGACGGAAAGAATGATGCTATTGTAATTCCTGTTGGAGGTCAGATACACAGAGGTGAAGCAAAGGGGTTTTTGGCATTTGACTTGAGCTTTTGTCTTTTCAGAAATATGTTTTGCTACTGGTTCCTTTATTGTTGGATATCATGTAACTTGTCTTTCCTTATTTCATCTTTTTACCTTTTAACTAACTTGTTTCTCAGCCCTTCAGCAAGACTGCGAGCATTATTACTCAAGGCCCAAAATACTCCAAAGTCAGGGAGACAGAAGCTGCCAAGCATCTTGGTCTCACTTACAGGTATGAGTAGCAAATTTAACACATTGTGCTTTTGCTATAAGTAGTGGCATTTGGGGGTACTAAAGACATATGTGTTAATGAAAAGGCATTTTTTCTAGCTTGGAATAAAGTTAGATGAGTTGTTTGACCTACCAAGCAGTCAAAGTTGATCATTAGAAGTTTATTATTTATATGTACCTAAGAATAATTTGGATAAATCTTGATGAGTTTTATCATTGGTTTGCCCAAGAATTTTTGAGGAAATGATGTTATTTGGGTTGCTATGGATCATTTGATAAAGATTGGCTCATTTTTTCTTGGTGAAAATAACAATTAAAGTTTTTGAACTTATGTAAATTAGTTGTTTAGTATTTATGGTTTGATGAGTGACATTGTGAGTGAACGAAATCTTAAATTCATATCAAAGTTTTGGCAAGTAGTCTTTAAAACGCTAGAGACTACATTAAGCATCAGTAGTGGTGAACATCCATAATTAAATGAGTAAATAAAGTGCATGAATTAGCTATTAGAAGATATGTTGAGGGTTTTTTCTTTTAGGAAACTTGATATGGGAAAAAGAACTTATTTTTCATAATAATGCTAAAAAATTAGCTATTGATATATCTTCATTTATAGCATTGTATGTCTACCATAGGTTTGAGTTTGACTTATGAATGCATTTTACTTATAATTTCCTCAAGGATATATAAAATAAGCTTGAGTTAGCAAAGTTGAACATAAGGTAACTCAAGAATGAGACAAAAGGTTGGATGGTGAGCATTATTATCATTGGGAGTACAAAGTTAGTGACAAGTTTTTCCTTAAGCTATCTAATACATAATGGTCTTTGAAAGGTGGTGGTAATACTAAGTTATTTTTATGGTATTTGAAAATTATCCAACATTAAAGCCTAAAGTGCAATTGAAGGTCTTAAACAATTTTATAGTGCATGAGGGACCTTGATTACACTTGTTGGACTTGCTAACTAATTTAAAAATTCATTCAACATTCCACATAGAAGATTAAAGTGTGTGCACTTTAACAATGTTATTCCTAAAAACTGATGTTGAAGAAGTTAGTCCAACCTATAAAGTTGGTGAAGATACACTGTAAAACAGCAAAGGAGTTGTTAGTTTAGTGGAATGGCTTATAGCAAAGGCTATATGTGAAGTTTGTAAATGACTTGAAAAAAGTATTTCCAAGTTTTAATTATAATTGGACAACATTCCTAAAAAAGAGAAAAACTAAGTTCTATATTGTTATACTGTTATTTTAATTTCATTCTCTTGTTTTCATGATGTAGTATCATGTAAAAAAGCCATATTATTTTCTTTCCTTTGTGGCTGTTTATCACAATGTTAGCGTTGTTATTTGCAAATCTTTCCTCTAGCCTTGTACTCACCACAAAAATATTCTAAGACATGGCCCTAAGATTCATTTCAAGCCAACAGCATGTTCAAGCAAGGTCATGCAATGGCCCATTCACTAGCCTCCTGCTCTTGCTGTCCTGCTCCTCTACTGCCACTATGCACTGCACCTTCTTGTGGCCCTGGTGAGTGGTGTAGCTCACCATAGTTTTCTCTTGAATGGCAATTTATTATATATGGCAAGTCCCAAATTAAGAAATAATTTCTTCCATTCAACACAAGCACTAGAAACTTGGAAGAAATTGAACCCCAAGGATTAGTGCTGAAGCCTCTGCACACGACCCATATAGTTTCAAAAGGGACCGGGCACTTGTGAAGGCTTCGTTATACACTTCTTTGGGGGTGAATGAAAAGCGAGGTTTGTTGCTCCAACAAGATATATAGCCATCATAATCATCAAAGGCAAGGAGGTCTGTTGCAGTTACCTAGGCTCTCCAGGTGGGTTCATCCTTCATGACAAAGTGGACCTACAATTTCAAACACAGAATAACAAACACATGTCTAATTCAGGGCAGCTTACTGCAATGGACACTTTAGCACATTTGAGTGCCTTTTATATGCTTTCTACAGCAATCCGTGCTGCTTTATCCAGAGGAAACCTGAAATATAATGCAAACTCAGTATACAAGAGGTAAGGTGTGAGTACAAACCTGCCATGTCTGCACGAGATAGATGGGAGCGTTGTGTGCTTAACACCCTTCCTGCAAGCAAATGATATAGTATATTGAATAACACAAATTTATCACCCCTCAAATCTATAGGGGTATCCCTTCACAAAACCTTAACATAAACATTAATGATAAAGGAGTTGAAGTTAACAAACTCTTTAAGTTTATATAAGAGATTGCCATGAATTAGATAGAATTTACAATCCTACATAATACATCAGCCACCTTATTATCACTATGCTTGTATTAGATCTTAATAAACATTTAATGGTTTAAATCCACATAGAAGTCCAATCTATATGGATAATGTCATTCTTTCACACCAATGTTTATAACATAGAATTTTTTGTCTTAAGTAAGCTAGTTTTACTGTATAACATCAAACTTATAGCTTGTATATGTGAGAGGGTGCCCAACTTGAATCAATACAACATCACTTTCATCCATCTCAACCATAAAAGGCTTTTTAAGATTTAAAATCTTCAACATTATTCTCTGTGTTAAGCTTGATATCAAAGTGTATCACAAGACCACTCACCATTCCAAGAGCATAGCTGAGTGTGGAGTGGAGCTCAAATAACCAAATGAATACCATCAATCTATCCATACTTAATCTCTTTAGAATGACTACCTTCCATCACTAGCCACTTGGACCATCTCCTCACTCTAGAGGTGGTTGATTGCAAGAACATGTAGCTCAAGCTACTCAATTTGAGCTCTAATTTTTTGCAAGAGGTCTAAAAAACCTCTTTGGCTTTGAGAGCCTGTAAAGCTTGGATTTTAATGAGAAATCTTTAGCAGTAATTGGAGTTCCATACTTTAGCTCAATGTTATAATTGCTTAACCTGTCTATCAAGAACTTGACTATAAGAGTTTCCATCAAAGTTAAGACTATAGAAACTAGAGCTCTTAGATAATGACTTAACATTGCTTTAATTGTTGAAACACCATTTTGACACTTTTCATCTCAACCAACAAATAGTAGCATGCTTTAATATGTTATAAAGTCAAGGGAATAACTATTTTTAAAAAGTGCTTTATAAATTGTGATAAAACTCCAATTATACCAAAGAAACAAGCCAATCAGTTACAACTTAGATTTTTATGAGATTAACTCTCATATCAAATATACAAGATATTGTAAGCCATAATTTATTTTTCTAATTTGTTAACTTACCTCACTTATTCAACAACTTTTGTTTTAACTATAGTTAAATTTTTTTGTCAAGACCCACTGCTATTTGGTCTTGTTTGGCTTTAGCTATTTATTATATGAGTAAGAAAGTGTTACCCATTTCTTCAAGGATTCCAAAACTCTTTTGCCTAATCCCCCTCACCGAGGTATAACATTAATTATAGTACTTGGTTATATGAGATTGAATTTAGTCCATTTATTCGTGTATATAAGTAAGGGTCTAAACCAATTAATATACTTATTCTTATATCCTAAGCACTTAAAATGTGCATTTTCTATTTTTTTATTTAAAATAAAAATAAAAAACATACTTATGTCTTAAAATATTAAAATCACTCTTTTAAAACTATTTATTGTAAACACCAATGTTGTGGAGATAAAGGATAGAACATGGAAATTGAAAGACATAAATGAAACACTAGATGAGTGATCTTTCTTTAGGTTTGCAGTCCTTGTAGCTGCATTGACCAACAAATTTGAGTGTGAAAACTTCATCCTCGGTGAGCTTGTTGAATATATTAGTCTTTTCTTTTTCAAACGTATCTAGCAAGGGAAATTGAAGGGTTATTGGAGAAACCTTGGCATCTAGAGAATTGGAGAGAGCGGGACTGTGGAATAATGCTATAGTGCTAGTGGATTCCAAAAGCAGAAGCATTAGGTGGTGATACAACAAATAAAACAACTACAGAAGCCCTCACCTTGTCCATCTTAGGGATTGACATTCCAAGACTTTCCCATGGAAGATGAAGTAAGTCTAGCATCCATTCGATTTCTTTTGTTCTTTTCATTTAATTTTAGTTTACAACACAGTATAAACAAAGATGTGGATGGAGTTCTTTGAGTGACTTTGGTTAAAGGGATGCAATCTCTAAAATACTTTGGAATTCTAGAGAGGCTTGTTACATGTATTGAATTAGGAACACCAAAAACAATATGAACTTATGACATCTACAACGTCCATGATTAATATATCGCCCAGGATTTTATTATACAAATAATAATAATACAAGCTTTTTATATTTAACTTCATGTTCATATCAAGGCAGCACGTAATAATACATACTCCAGACTGCGTATGGCGCGGTTTTCCCAGAAGAACACCGTGCTGCCGAATGTGATGAAGCTGATGACCCCCATGGCGATGCTGAAGGGGAGCAGTCCATCACCATCGCCAGCATTGTGTTGCTGCTGCTCGCGGCGATCATCATTCGGTGCAATCGACGACAGATTGTTGGGGTTAGGGCTGCATTGCACGGTGATGAGAGGTAAGCCGCAGAGGTATGGATTCCCGGCATAGCTGCTGGCCGGGAACGTTGTCAGTTTGCCAGTCTGTGGAATCGAACCTGAGAGATTGTTGTGAGAAACGTTGAACAGGCCAATGTTGAGGTGGGAGAGGGAAGCCGGTATGATTCCCTGCAAGGCATTTTGCGAGAGGTCCATGTAGAGCAAATTGCTGAGGTCCCCGAGGGACTCAGGGATTCCACCGGTGAGGGAGTTGTTCTGCAAGAACAAGCTTGCATGCTCAACATTTGACCGATCTAGGCCGGGATATGGGCTCTGCCGCTTCTATTGGTGAGGAGCTTCTCCAGATCGGTCATTCGGATTCCTTGCACTGGAATGAGGCTTGTCCAGCTAGCAACTCTGGTCGTGTCATTGGCATTGAAATCGACCAGCATGAATCTCAGGTTGGCAACCAGATCATCGTCCTCCACGTTCAAAAGTTCCACTCTGCTGTGTTGGCGGCCGATTCGATCTGAGATGGACCCTGACAAAGCGTTGCTGTTGAGCTCTATATCGACCAAGTTGTCACACTCGTCCAGCTCCTTTGGTATCTCGCCTTGGAGCAGATTATGGCTGAGTTGAAGAAGCTTGAGGTTCCCGTTGGAGAATCGGGGGATTGATCCAGTGAGTCTGTTGTTGATCAAACTCAGCCACCACAGCTTGCTCAGGTGTGTCAGATCGGAAGGGATGTCTCCATAGAGATTGTTGTGCCCGAGCAGAAGAATTTTGAGGCTGCTGCAAGAGCCCAGGCTAGAAGGAATCCGGCCTTGAAGATGGTTGACCCACACGAGCAGATGTTCGAGTTTGGGAAGCTTGGAGCAGAGATTGTGAGGAATCTCTCCAGTCAAGGCATTGAAACTCAAATCTAGTAGCTCTAAGCTGGAACAATCTGCGACCGAACTGAGGACTAGTCCTTCCAGGTTGTTGTTGGGCAGCATTAATGTGCGGAGTTTTGAAGGAGCACGCTGTGATGATGCGCAAATTCTGGTTGGAGTGATGCGGAAATTGTTGGCGCTGAAGTCGATATAGTGGAGATATGAGTGGATGATGGGAACTCGTCCTGAGAATCGGTTGAAACTGGCATCGAGGATTTGCAGAGATGGTAAGGACTTGGCCAAGTTTGTGAAACTGCCGGAGAGATTGTTGTTCGAGATGTTGAGCACCCTGAGCGAAGCACAGATTGCCGGATGCTTGAATTCTGAAAGCATGTTGGAAGATATGTCGAGCTCTGAGAGGTTCCGACAGCCGTCAGAGTCGATTACCAGTGCCGTGAATATATTGGAGGCGAGCTTCAGATTGCGGATGTTACTAGATGAACTCAACGATGGGAATACTTCCGAGAAATTGTTGTGATCCAAAGAGATACTTTCCAGTGAGCTGCAATTCATGATCTGCCTGGGGACACTGCCGGTTAGCCGATTCTTGGAGACATCCAGATGCTGCAAGCTGCATGATAGAGGAAAGAACGACGGTGGCAAGGGACCAGTGAGCATATTGTTGGACAGATTCAGCGATTTCATGCCTCGGCAGTCGGCAAGAAGCTGCAACGGGACGCCTCCTTCCAATCTGTTACCGGACAAGTCGAGCATGTTCAAAGCGCATGTTTGGAGCGACAGATCCTCAACAGAACCCGTGAAGTTGGTGTTGGAAATGATCAACTTTTTCAACTCCGGCAGTCCTTGGATCGCAGATGCCAGAAGAGAGCTCGGGAACGATGCCAGATTCCGTAAATGAAGTTCGACTACCCGCCCCTGGTTAGAACAAGCAACGCCTTCCCATTCACAGATGCTGCTTGTACTTGAATCCCAAGCATTACCTGCCATATGTTCTCTCAAGCGGAGGAGGATCGTGGAGTCATTCCCACCACCAACGGTCGCAAATGTGAGCAATATCGCGAGCCACAACATGGCTCTTCTCCAGACGATGCAAGGTTTGTTCTTTCTCATATGGATATGTAGACTTGAAATTTTGTGCTTATTAGACTTCCATCACGACTTTGTGACCCATGATCTGGAACAAATGTTCAACAACGACTAGTCCGACGGCAATGCCGGCTCAGATGCAATGATGCTCTTGTATTTATGTGCTAAACTCTCTCTGATCATGAAACTGAGAGTGAGACCAACATCGTTAAGCTATGGAAACATCCAGGATACGCGTCAGTTTTGACTCAAACAAAGGATCAAAGGCGTCCAGTCAAACTTTGTGCTTCTCTTCCGTGTTGAACAATGATTCTGATTTTAGAGATGGGAATCATGGGATAGGAAAATTGCTCACAGCATTGGTTGCAGCTGGACGCAGGTTCTACTTAGATGCAGGAAAAACTTATGTCCAGTTCAATTACATCTGTATGATTCATCCCATAAAAGAAACCCTCGTTGCAAGCTGGACAAGCAATCTAGGAAATCAGGCTGCACGAACCAAGGCTTTGGATTCAACTAAAGTTCCAACTTTGAACAAATTTTCCATATAACGCTTGGAGGATTAAATGCAACATCTGTGTGATGAGTGCGGACCACTCTTGAGCTTATGAGTTGAAAAGTTAAGTTTGCAATCTCAGCTCTAGTTTAATATAAATATTATAAAGTTTCAAAAATTAAGGCTTTATATTTTATACAAATAAAAATTTTTTGATAGAGATTTTTTATCCAAGAATTAAAATATTTACTATGTGCTAAAAATGTAGGTTTGTCAGAATTTTAAATAAGATAAGATACAAATCTGTACCATGTGCTTTTTAAAAATTATCAAGTTTGAATTAAGATTCTTTTGCAAGGCCATGTATCTATAAGACACATGAATATTATGGGCATTATTGCAAAGAGAACACTTGCAAGTATATAAAATGAAATGTATGTATTTATAATAATTATAAAAAAATATAAAAGTTTATAATATTAGGTCAAATGAACTTGTTATAACATACATGACCAATGGTCCTAATGTTGAGTATCATTTTACTCCAAGACAATGCTCCTGGAGTGAACCATCTCAAGTGGCTAATGAAGAGAGTGCATCATAATAAGTTGAAATCATTTACTATAGCATAGAACTGAAGCAATAGGCAATCTAACACGTGTTAGCAAAATCTAATATAAAGTGTGTGAGAATACTTTTGAGGGGCAAATGCTAGACTTAGGTTTATGGTAATAAATTTGCTTTTATTCCATCTGCATATTTCTATAAGAAATGAAAGCAAGTAGGATTTTTAAGATGGTGCTAGTTATATTGTTGCGACACTAATGTCAATCATACAAAGTGGCTTGAAAACATTATACTGACAAAACCTAATGCAATACCTAAAGAATGGCTGATTACTAATGAAGTCATACTCACCTCAAATAAGATTGGAAATTTTAAGAAATTTGGTTTCAATCTTGAGAGAAGGAGAGTTGGAGACATGAGTGACAAAATTAACACTATTCCCATAGAGATGTATAAAAGGGTAACAAGAAAACATAAAATAGTTAAATTTATTAGTACCATTTCCAAGCAAAAGTAAGGTAAAATAAACTTGATTCAAATTCTTGAGTGTGAGATTTTTTCCATGAAGTGCATTATTGTGCTAGCAAAGGAGTATATTGTGAAAACTAAAGGTGGAGAGTATAAAATTGCGATTCAAAATCTTCTATCTTGCACATGTTCAGACTTCACAAAGCACAAAGAGCATAAGAAGGTATATGCTCCTTGCATATATATTACATTTTCATCAACATCTTGCATCAAGATTTTCAAGTGGACATTCATATAAACCAAACAAGCCTTACTATTGCTAAGTTGCAAAAGACTTTTAGAAGTGATTAGATTATGTTTATTCTTTATCAATATTATAAACTTTTATATTTTATATAATTATTAGAATCACATACTTTTCATTTTATACTTGCAAGTATTCTCTTCATAATAATGCCCATAATATTTATGTGTCTCATAGATATATGGTCTTGCAAAAGAATCTTAATTCAAACTTGATAATTTAAAAAAAGCATATAGTATAGATTTAAATCTTATCTTATTTACAGTTTTGATGAACCTACCTATTTTGGCATGTAGAAAATATTGATAAGAAATCTTTAATAAAATATTTTTATTTATATAAAATGCAAAGAGATGTTAATATATATTACAAAGTTAGGTTTGCTATGAATCTTAATTTCTAAAACTTTATAATATTTATATTAAACTATATTTGAAATTTGAGCTCAACTTATCAACTTAACTCTACATTTCATGAGCTTAAGAGTGATCGATACTCCCACTCCCAAACTGAGCCACTTCAAGTGGTTGATGAAAAAAGTGCATCACAACAAATTGAAATTGCTTACCATAATGTTGACTCAAGGTAATAAACAATTTACCAAGTACTAGCAAAATCTAATGTAATGTATATATAAATGTTTTTAGGGGGCAAATGTTAAATCTGGATCTATAGTGATAAATCTACTTTTGTTCCAACCCCATGTTTCCATGGGGGAACGAAAGCAAATAAAATTTTTGAGATGGTGTTGGTTGTATTGTTGTAATGCCAATGGTAATCATACAAATTGGTTTGAAGATATTATAGTGATTAGTAAGTGCATCCCTTCTAGAGGTCGGGACTCTTTGCATGTATTAGCTCTAAAATTACTATGGTTATCCGCGGTCGGCAGGGTTCGATCATGGTCAGGATAAAACATCCATCACAATCCAAGTTACTACTTAAGACAAGGTATCATAAGGCCTCAAAACTTAATAAAGTGCCTAAAGAATAGCTAGTTGTTAATAGGGTCATTCTCACCACAAATGAGATTGAAAACCTTGAGAAATTTTATGCTTTCCCATATTCCTTATGCTTTATAAAGTTTGAACATGTGTAAAAAAAAAGGTTTTGAATAACAATTATATATTCTTTATTTTTTGTTTTCACAATGTACTTCTTCACTAGCATAGTGATGCACTTTATGGAGAGAATCTCACACTCAAACATAGGTTATTTTATCATGCTTTTACTTGGAGATGGTATTAGTAAATTTGATTGCCTTACCTTTTCTTGTTAGCCTTTTGCTCTTTACAAGTATATGTATTACATCCTCACCAGCATTTTGCACTTGTATCCTAAAATGGACGTTCATATACACTAAACAAACTTTATTATTTTTGAGTTATAGAAGACTTTTGGAAGTAATTAGATGAGAGATCAGATATACACTAAAGGTAGTTGAAGACGAAGAAGTGCTCTTGCTCACTAATAACTTGATCTGAAAATAAACTTTTATAGATAAACTCGTAAGGACATGTCTATTTTTAGTTCAAGGATAGAGTCAATTTTTTACTATAGCTTCCTCTCTTGAGATTCACATATCCAAGATTTATTCTAAACAAAACAAAATGTAAGAGAGATATTATTTTAAAGTATGTAATATTATTTGCCTACCTCTTGAGGCTAAACACAAATTATACACTATAAGCAACTAGTTTTTCCATTTTACTTTAGTCACTTAACCACACATTTGATCATTTGAAGGAGTCTTACTCACAACCTCCGTAAGTCCTATTCAAGACTTGGGGACATACTAGCCTCGTGAATGGCATCTATACTACTTAGCCTTTGCACTTGGTCTAAGTGCTCCATATGTCCAATCCCATGATCGACACCCAAATGTACCACTAACATATTAGCCTGTTACGCTAAGGCTATGCTCATTTACTCTTGTCATATTGGTAGTCCAAGACCACTTACATTACAGTGTAAGTGACTAAATTTTTCATTCTACTTTAGTCATTTAACCACACTTTTGACCATTTGGAAGAGTCTCACTCACAACTTCCATAAGTTTTATTTTGGACTTAGGGACTTGCTAGTCTTGAGAATGGCATCCTTCAACCTTTGCACTTAGTCCAAGTGCTCCACATGTCCGATCCCATGACCGACACCCAAAGGTATCACTGACATATTAGCATGTTAGTACGCTAAAGCCATGCCCATTCTTCTTTGTCACACTAGTGATCCAACACCACCTATATGTAAGCAACCAAAGGGAACGACTCGAGAGACGATCCATGGGGTTCAAATATAGAGGGAAAGGGCCCATGAATAAGAGTGCACCCCCTTTTCCAATCGGTTAAGGGTCTTGGGATAGTTGGAGTTAAGCGTCCTTGGGTTTGAATAGTACTGGGCTGGGTGACCTCCCGGGAAGTCCAAACTCAGGAGCTTACATTTGGTATCAGAGCGGTCTCGGGTCCGACTCTGTTAGTTGGCTAGGGGAATCACACCACATGTTAATTGACATCTGGCTGGTCCAATTTGCTCCTGCTGGGCTCGACCCGAGGGGTAGGGTGTCAAGAGAGCGGGGCTCTCGGGAGAGTTGCGGCTCTCAGCTTCCGTTCACGAGGGCGTGAACTTGCAGGGAAGCGTGGTGGATTGTAAGCAACCAAAGGGAACGACTCGAGAGACGATCCATGGGGTTCAAATATAGAGGGAAAGGGCCCATGAATAAGAGTGCACCCCCTTTTCCAATCGGTTAAGGGTCTTGGGATAGTTGGAGTTAAGCGTCCTTGGGTTTGAATAGTATTGGGCTGGGTGACCTCCCGGGAAGTCCAAACTCAGAAGCTTACATTTGGTATCAGAGCGGTCTCGAGTCCGACTCTGTTGGTTGGCTAGGGGAATCACACCACATGTTAATTGACATCTGGCTGGTCCAATTTGCTCCTGCTGGGCTCGACCCGAGGGGTAGGGTGTCAAGAGAGCGGGGCTTTCGGGAGAGTTGCGGCTCTCAGCTTCCGTTCACGAGGGCATGAACTTGCAAGGAAGCGTGGTGGATTGTAAGCAACCAAAGGGAACGAC